GTACAACAAAACTCTCAAGGTCTCTGTCAAGAACTTTGGAATTGACTGTATGACATGGGAGACACTGGCACAGGACTGCTCAGCATGGCATGCCCACATCAGAAAAGATGCTATGCTCCATTAACAAAGTAGAATTGAAATAGCTCAATGCAAGATACACAAACTTAGAAAATCCACCCCAGACTATTTGTGCCCAACCTGTGGTAGAACATTCCGAGCTTGTATTGATCTGACCAGCCACAGTCAGACACACTGTAACTTGACTCTAGCATAGTGATGTCATTTTGGTCCTCTTCAAAAATGAAGAACAGCCAACAACCATTATGTAAAATATGGTAATTGGTTCTAGCCCCATGAAAATATGCAATGTGAATTTGAATAAAATGACCACATCAGGGGTTTCAATATTCTCACTAATCTAGACCTAGCTGTATAAAGTTGCTGTTGTTCTTAATCTCTGGAAAGAGATAGGAAGAATATGAGCAACATCCCAATGATGTCAGACCACTTCACGCAGTAAGCACATATATACCCAACCAGAAGCCAGAGAGCCTCTATGACGGTGAAGTACTCTGGAATAAGTATTCATCTATATATAGCTTTCCCACTAAGATTGCCCCTGTTCAAGATAGAAACTTTGACAGGAAATTACTTAAAGAAGTGCTAACCTTGGCCAGAATCCAGAAGTCTAGGATTTTATACCTTAGCACCATCTTACAATTTGAAAGCATTATCTCAATACTAGACATATTCAGTATGAGAGAATGTTCTTACGGTCTATTAAACAACTGTTAATTTCTAAGTAAACTTGCCAAGAGTGGGGGTGGCATATGCTTGTAGCCCCTATGCTAGGGAAACTATGGCTAATGGACCACTTGTGCTTAGGAATTCTGAGCTGTAGTGAGCAGGGCAGGACATCAAGAGGGTAGAATTTAGGGTAGAATTCTACCCATTGTGCCCTAAATAAAGATCCAATCTGCACACTTTTCCTAGGCTAAAAGATTTTTGACCTCCAAGGTGAAAGGAAAATCACCTTTCTCTTTGAGACTCACAGTCCTTCTTCTGACCATGTATTATAATGGATAAATAAATCCCATCCCTGCCAGCAGAATTTCATTTCCCAGCCAGCAATTTTTCCATGTCAAAGAACTACCAAAGGTTATATTCAGAAGATCTACTGGGCAAACGACCATTTTAACAGTCTTGAATTCATTCATAAGATAACTGTTTCTTCAAATATTATAGGAAAAACTCAAAGTTTACTTAAGCTCATCACCAAGTTTTAAGAGAAGTCATTATAACTTATTCATACTTAACATTGCCATCATTGCAAAAAATTAAGGATCACACTAACTAAAAATAAGGATAACAAGTTTGACAACTCATGTTAAATATTCACTAGTCTGGGAAGGGCATTGCTGAAGCATCTAAGTCTAAGGTATGAATGAAGACTTAAAAGAATTTTCACTTTGCAGTGGGCTGAAAAAATTTGGCTAAAGTAAAAAGGAATATTCAAAAAGTAAATTCATATACATTACTCTATTAAATATCACACATTACATTTCATGCATACATTGTTTTTATTTGGTGGGAAACTTATAGACAGGATTGTAATTGGCCAGTTTTCCAAATTTGGCTTTACTGCTAAATTGTTATCTGCCAATCCTTTTTGTTGTTGTTGTTGATTCATGGCCAACTCTTGGTGGCTTCATTTGGGGTTTTCTTGGCAAAGATACTAGAGTGGTTTGCCATTTCCTTCTCCAACTTGTTTTATAGATGAGGAACTGAGGCAAGCAGTGTTAAGTGGATTGCCTAGAGTTACATAGCTAGTAAGTGTCTGAGGCTGGATTTGAACTCAGGAAGGTGAATCTGCCTGACTCCAGGCCTCTATTCACTGTGCCATCTAGCTGCCCTTGCCAATCCTTAGACCTCGTATAATGATTAGTCTTGGATTGTAGTGATAAATATGGGCTGATCCTTAGAACCTCTATTTCTCTCTACTGTCCAAGACTAATCGTCACTATACAGCTTTACGCTGCTTATGGCTGTGTGCTGGACACATAAAAAACAAGACAAAACAAAAGACATACCTGTCCACAATCAAAATAAACTTCATGTCTATCCACAATAAACCAATATTTAAGCTAGTTACCATATTTCACTAATGAACTGGTTGTCAAAGCAACCAAATCATTACATTCCTCATTACTCAGATTTAAATTACATGGGATCTGTTTTAAAATTTGTAAATAAACCTTAGCTCTGGGGTCATACAAAGAAAAACAAAAGCTTGGTGACATAACAAAAATTACCCATAATGTGGGTCTACACTAATTGGCAATAATTTGGTGAATTTGGGTGGAGTAGATCATGAATTCTAATTGAAAGTGGCAAAAAGTGAGAGACAATGTGGCATTAGTGGGAAAAGGGCCAGCTGTGGAGTCACCAGAAGTTTTGAGCAAAAAAGTCACCAGATGACTTCTACAAGGAAGAAGGGAAGCTATGAGGCTTTTTTGAATGCTTCTACAGCCAATGAATGAGCCTCCTCTTTAGTTAGCATATGGTTAGACAACTGGAAGCATGTCCATCCGTGCTTCATAGTCTCTTCTAAAGCATTTCCTTTTTTTTTTTTGTCAGGCAATTGGGGTTAAGTGACCTGCTCAGGGTCAGACAGCTAGTAAGTGTCAAGTGTTTGGTCTAAGGCTGCATTTAAACTCAGGTCCTTCTGACTTCAGGGCAGTACTCTATCCACTGCGCCACCTAGCTGCCCCTCTTCTAAAGCATTTCCATTCCACATTATCATAACTCTCATGAAGACGTGCTCCTTAGGCAACTCCATGTGGAGACACAAAATCTCTACAACACAATCTGGAGAGATCCTTGTCAAAATTAAAATTTTCTTTAAAAATTGCTCAGAATACAGTGAAAAACTGCTTATTGTTATCAGGAGATGAAACCCAAGATAAAAAGTATAAAAAGCAAATAAGTAATATTTACCAGTAAATATTGCTGGTTACTTACTTACCTGTAACAGCTATGAGTCAGGGAGGAAGTGGAGAAAGGATAGCTTCACCAGTAGTAGCCAAAGTTAGACAAAGCAGGAAATTCTATCCTAGCAGTTCTCTCCTTAAAAGGGTCAGTGAACCACACAAAGATCCAACCACTCATGATTACATTCAGTACAGGACAGCAGCACCTTCCACTTGCAAATGGTTGGCTGCTGGCCAGCTGGAATGCATGCACATCATCCTAGTGCTCCTTTCTTTTCTGTGGAGCTCCTAAATTCCCAAGGTTACTGCCTCTATGCCCCTAAGCAGCTTCTGTCTCTCATCATCCTTTAGTCCCTCCCTCCAAATGAGAAGAACTACACTTCCCATCTTTCTAATAAGGGGCTACACTAAGGAAGCACAGTTTCTCACTTTACAGGATCATCTTTGTACTATTACTAGCATTTACATAGTGCCTACTATGTGCCAGGCACCGTGCTATATGCTTTACAAATATTATTTGATTTGATCCTTACAACAACCCTGGGAGGCAGGTGCTATTATTGTCCACATTTTACAGATGAAGAAACAGAGGCAAACAGAGGTTAAGTGATTTGTCCAGGGTAATATAGCTATTAAGTATCTAAGATTGGATTTAGACTCAGGCTTTCCTGACTCCAGGCCCAGCACTCTATCCACCTTGCTGCCTCTAAACTAGATCTTCTTGAATATGCCTGTATTCACTTTTTCAAAACACACTATAGTGGAAGTTCATGGTTGTGAATATAAACCATTGTTCTCTGACATCACGGTCAGGAAAACCTGTGATTCTGAGGCCAAATTTGACCTCATGTCCTCCTGACTCTAGGATCAGTAATCTATCCACTGTGTCACCTAGTTACCCCTAGTTCTATACATTTGAGGAGATTGGGGAAAACTCACTTATGCAAACTCACTGTTAAATCATGGAGTTAAATGATGGCAGCTACCCTTTGTCCTTTTAGGTGACTGAGACTGGGAGTTGTGAACTTCTGATGCGGTTAGTTTCTAATGGACATCTGCAAGGAAGAGAGTGACATTTCTAAAAGAGGTGGGTTTGGTAGCCTGGATTTATGCCTCTCTCCCTACCCTGTCCATCCAGTGTCCTATCCACTGCCCCACCTAGCTGCCCCTCTACAGGGCTCACAGATTCAACATATTAAAATAATATTGATCAACTAGATTTTGGGCATCTAGATGGGGCAGTGCATAGAGTGCCCGACATGGAGTCAGGAAGACTCATCTTCCTAAGTTCAAATCTGACCTCAAACACTTCCCAGCAGTGTGACCCCGGGAAAGTCACTTAACCCTGTTTGCCTCAGTTTCCTCCTCTATAAAATGAGTTAGAGAAGGAAATGGCAAAACATTGCAGTGTCTTTGCCAAGAAAACCTCAAAAGAAGTCATGAAGAGTAGGATATGACTGGACAACAAAATAAGCTAATTTTCTTCTTGTAATTTCAAAACACGTTCTAGAAATTACTAACATAGTACTAGACCTTAAAATTGAAGAACTTTTTTTTTTAAAATTCAAAGACTTTCTGTGATTGCCTCCGTGTGGAGGGATTCCCCTTACTCAAGAAGACTAAGACTAAAACTTAGATTCTAGGAACACATGGAAGATAAGTGACTTAAAGCCAAGCAGCCTCTATTTAAACTGCAAAACTCCCAACAATACTATACACCCTTTTAAAAAGTGAACCGGTAGGAGGAAAAGGCTATAAAAAGACTTTGTATTGTTTGGGTTCGGAGATACTGAGCTTTAAACCAATTTTAAAAAATTATTTCACTTTGGGAAAAAACAATGCATGTACCCAGGGTGAAAAGAACAAGACTCAAGGGTGTGTGCCAGAATTTTGTGTCCTGCCTGACTTCAGTGTCATTACACACTGTCAGCTCGGAAAAGAAAAATGCGGCTTGCCCTATGGTAATATTTATCCAATAGAAACTATAACTCTTTCTTCTGGTTCACCTACTTCCATTTTAATGTCGTAATTCTGGCCAAGGATACTGTCTATGAGATCTTTGATCGTCTTGTCCACCGCTGACTGACGTTCAGACTGAAGGGAAACAATTATTTCCTCAATAGACCTTGGGACTTCTCTCTCAGACAAATGCATTTCGGGTGCTTTTTTTTCGGATTCCTCGGCTTGGGGTTCTTCCTCCTTTATTGTCGGAACTTCTATCGCGGGCTCCTCCAGAACCCTGACGTCTCTGCTAGGGCTAGAAATGAAACTTTTTTTTCTTTTCTTCTCAGACTGAGAACTGTAAGAAATACCTTCTCTGCGGGGTCCCACCCACCTCCTTTTTCTCAGAGAGACCTTTTCAGCCTCGTGTTCACTTGTCATAGTTTCCTTACTTGTGATTTCTTCAGCATGATACGATTCTGGGAGAGAAGAAGGCTCGCTTTTCCCTCCGCGTTTTTCCAAAGGAAGAGGGAACTGAGGGGTTGGCAACCTTCGCTGAAGAATAACTCGGCGGTATCTAGACTTGTGAGGAGGAGCTGGCTGTTTAAATAAAACAGCTTGTTTAGAAGTGCCTGCCAGTGAGGCAATCACTGGTTTTTCCTTTCCATGTTGATAAATGTAAGCAGTATTTTTCAAATAAAATTCTTTGGGACAAAACGGCTCGTTTCTAGGTCTACCAGCAAGTGACGTCGTCTTTCTGCTCTCTTTGAAAAGTAATTTACTTCCTTGAATCTTCTTTCTGGGATCATGACTCTGTTTTTCTGTGTCTTGAAGTGCAGAAGAACATGGTTGAGGTGGAACAATCTTGTCTGTAGCGATGGCCTCGTATGAACTTTCTGAACTCTGGGAAGAGTAATTATTAAAATCTCTTGGTAGAGTTGAAAAGGCTAGAGGACTCCTTTTTGATTTCAATTCCTGTCCCAGCTTGAATTTAAGGAAATCTTTCCTTGTTTGTTTGCGAACCTTCTCAAGTTCCTTCAGCATCTTCAATTCTTCATCATAACTTAGTCCAAAATGCTTTGGGACTCTAGACATTTTGTTACGTGTGGCCTGTAAAATAAATAAAATGCATAGCTCATTTCTATATTATTGCAGATACGAAAATCATATTGACATAGAATTCTCCAATGTTTTTTGAGGCACATATTTGCATTCCATTAAATTTATAGTGTTTTTATTATATAATTATGTAAGACTCTCAATGTCCACCCCTTCACAAGGACTTTGGCAGATTCTAGAACCTGTCTTAATTCGATGGGCAATGTCTACCCTTTTTTGTTCTTATGTTTCTTTTGATGTGTGCCTAACATTCAAGGGTCCCAAAACTTCATTTTGCAAAACTGAATTGTAAATGACTTCCCATCAGGGGAGACTGCCTCCCTAGATCCCCACCTATTCTTAATTTGTCCCAGATTATTAGAATAAATAAATATAATATGGAATAAAATGTATCATTTTTCAGGAAGGGTGAAGCTGAAACACTTCCACAAGTTTTTTTTTAATCTCTCTCCACTTTGTACAATCATTTCAATAATTACTTGTGAGACTGCGATTTCTAAATAATACTATGGATTTGGAGTTTTTAAATTTTTCTTTGGATAAAGGAAGTTGCTGTAGTTGGGTTCACTTTTCCTATATAAACAATTTTCCACTGATGCTTCAAGGGAAGGATTTATTTCCTATTTGCCCTATAGATGGCTTGCATAGATAGATAGATAGATAGATAGATAGATAGATAGATAGATAGATAGATAGATAGATATAGATATAATGTAGATATATTTGTTTGCATGTAGTCTCCCCAGTTACACTATGAGCTCCTTGAGGGCAAGGACTGTCTTTTGCCTCTTTTTGTATCCCAGCACTTAACACAATGCCTGACCCTTAGTAGGCACTGAATAAATGTTTATTGGTTGATTGATAAGAAGCCAAACTTGAATTGTTTTATTATTGTTCTTCTCTTAAAAAATTTTTTTCAGATTTATTTTTATTGAATGAGCCAACTCCATTGAGTTCTTTTGTACTCATTCAGGACTCATATTAACTAATAAAAAATGCTACCAAACTAGTAAGATTCATAACTTAATAAATTCAACTTAGTAATGAAGAGGAAAAAAAATCAATTTACCTTCTAAACATGTTCGTGTTACTTTTCATTTTGAAATATTCCCTTTTATTCTCCAAAAAACATATTATATGCCAGGCACCATCCTAAACATTTTATATTCTCACAAAAATCTTGGGAGATAGCTGCTATCATTATCCATGTTTTACAGATGAGGAAACTGAGACATATTAAGTGACTTGCCCAAAGTGACACAGCTAGTCAGAGTCTATGGCTGGATTTAAGCTCAGATCTTCCTGACTCCCAGGCCTAGTGCTCTATCCAGTGTGCCACCTCACTGGCCCTATAAAAGAGTAAGGGAAGACTACAGAGTGAGGGAATATGAGTAATATATAAGAAGGCTGAAAAAATAGGTTGGGGCTAAGTTATAAATTGCTTTAACAGACAATCAGAGGAGTTTATATTTGATAATAGAAGCAATTGGGAGGCACTGGAGTTTATTAAGCAACAGAGCAACATGGTCAGATCTTCACTTAAAGAAAATCGCTTCATCAGCTGTTGGGAGGATGATGTAAATTACTTGTCAACTCTGGGGTGAGAAAGAGTAACTAGTTGGGGACAATGTCAAGGTTATAAACCTGGGAGAGGGGCAGCTAGATGGCATAGTGGATAGAGTACCAGCCCTGGATTCAGGAAGACCTGAGTTCAAATCTGGCCTTAGACACTTGATACTTACCAACTGTGTGACCCTGGACAAGTCACTTCACCCCACTGCCTCACAAAAAAAAATAAATAAACCTGGGAGACTAGAGGAATAGTGATGCCCTTAGACATAAACAGGGAAATTTAGGGAAAGGGTGGTTTAGGAGCAAAGAAAATGTTTAGGACATTTTGAGATTAAGATGTTTCTGGGACACCCAGTTTGAAATGTTCAATAGGCACTTGGTGAGAGATACTGGAGTTGGATATGTAGATATGTAAGTTGTTGGCATAGAGATGATAATTGAACCGATAAGTACTACTAACATTTTCCAAACACTAGGGCTGACTCTGGATCACCTTCTCTTTCTCTGTAGCAAATGGTCATCCTAAATGTAACATTCAGGCATTGATGGAAGATGTTATCCTATCCTCTTAAAAGGTGATGATTTTTAAAACTCTAAGAGTTTTTATACAATATTTCACAAACTAACATGCCTCTAAGGTTGCAAACAAAAATTTAAAAACCTATGCCATTCCTTCACTCCCCAGCAAAACATTTAATACTTTGTGGGAAAATAAACTTTTATTTAAAAAATAAAGCATGATATTTGAAAATAAAAACAGAGAAGCTGGCTGCCAAAATTTAATGCATTGTAGTTCAATAGAACAATCTTGAATTTGGAATCAGAGGAAATGAATTCAAATCTCAGCTCTGCCACTTGATACCAATGCATTCTTGGATAAGTCACTTAGCTCTCTGGATCTCAGTTTCCTCATCTACAAGTTAGGGGGTTGGCCTAAATGATTAACTACTACTAAAGTATTTTTTTTTTGCTCCAAAATCTATGGCTATAATTAAAAGGCTATTTCTAAAGAGAAGTTATGAAGCATTTCTAAAAGATTATTTATTAATTCTTATTCTTATTTATTATTGCTTAATTTGCCATCCAAATTCCAAGTGCTGTTGCAAGGTACAACAAAAGTAGCAGCCAGAGACCTCATCCTCCTTGTCTCTCTTTGGTTCTCCCTTTTTCTGTTTCTCTCAACTTCAACTGTATCTACATAGCTTAACTTTCATCCACTTTCCCTGACCGTAATATGAAAAGGAAGCAACATGACCTAGCAGCTATAGAGCCAGCCTTGGAGTAAGGAAGATTTGGGTTCAAGACCTTCCTCTGACACATACATACCAGCTGAATGACCATGGGGCAAGCAAATCACTTGTACTCTCATGCATCTAAGACAAGCCACCCATCCTTTTAGATGGATGAAATTAACACACTGGGAAATCTTTAGACCAATGAAATCATAGTTCTGCTTGCTTTCCACTCCTATGCAAGTACAGCTTATCATTATCATCATATTTAATGACATTTTGATATGTTCTCTATTTTTAATTTCAAATGAGTTTGCACATTACATATTTCTTTTGTGGGGAAAGAAAAAAAAACTCAGTTGAAGTGCTTTTATTGTGTTCCAAACTTTGACTATATGGGGTGTGTGGGGTGTGTGTGTGTGTGTGTGTGTGTGTGTGTGTGTGTGTGTGTCTTTCCTTTTTAGGTCAAAATGGGGACTCAGGGGAAAAAAATGGATACCCATCCCACTCCCACTGTCTACAATCACTGACTATCAGCTCTGAAACTGGGTGCTTTGTACTGGACTGCTAGATAGGTTTCAGTGTTGTGCAAACTCACATAACTGGTGTTAATGTAGAGGGAAAGGAAATTTAAAATCTCACAGTGCGTTCTTCCCACGACTTTTGGCCTGTTCCCAAAACATCCTTTCCCTCATTTCTTTCACTGGGGGCTTCTCTTCCTTTCCCAGGTCCCTCTACCCCGCCCTGCCTCAGTCCCCACCCCTGCCTCCCACTTCCTTTTCCCAACTCCATCTCTGCTCCACTCTGCCGGAGCAGGAGAGAATGGCTCAGCTTAATATTCGCACTGGTTTCCCTCCCCGAGTCCTTTCATCCCTCACCCCTCTTGGGTGGCTTTTTTCCTCCTGCTGTCTCGTAGTAACAACTTGATTTGGTCTCTGGAGGGTTCCCTGCCCCCCAGCCGTACAAGCTGAAGGATGAGGTTGTAGGGAAGAGAGGACGCGCTCCGTTACCTAGCAACCAGGTACCGTCACCTGGCAACTAGATATGCCGCCAGCCTTCGTCCTCCCTCCAGTTAGAAGACTGCTTTTCCTCTTTCCTCTTTCTCTGACCTGGGCTCTGAGCACCTTGAGTCCGGAGAGGGGCTTCTACCGCTCAGTTCGCTCCAGAGGCAATGTGGGCAAACCCAGTCTTCAGGATAAAGCACCCCTGCAATGGCGAAGTAGGAATGGACGGGAAGTTCCTCCACCTTCCGCTAAAGAGAATGTGCTGTAAAAATGGAATACATATATGTATGTGAGTACATGAACATACATGCATGCATACATGCATACATACATACATACATATATATGTGTATATATATGTATGTATATATATATATATATATATATAGAGAGAGAGAGAGAGAGAGAGAGAGAGAGAGAGAGAGAGAGAGAGAGAGAGAGAGAGAGCTGGTGAACTTTGGGTGTGGAGTAGTGCATGCGCTGTTAGACACAAGTGATGTGTTGGTTGGTTTTGCTGAACAGCTCCCCCCCCCCTTAATCCTTTGCTTTAATCTTTGATCGCTGTGCGAAGATGGGAGATCAATATATTCTGAATTGAAGATAATGTAAAAACAAAAGACATTAATAAAACAATTTTAAATACTAAAACGTGAAGAGAGGAGGGAAGAATAAAGAGCCTTGGCCCAGAGTTAGCAATACTTATAGCTGACATTTTAATGTAACATTAGGGTCTTCTATATATCTTATTTTATCCTCACAAAACCCTGAGAAATAGGACCTTCCTTTTGTTAGTGCAGAAACTAAGGCTCACAGAAATTAAGCCACTTTGTCCTTGTCAAAGATGTTATTTGACCCCAATCTTCTGAGTACAGAGTAAAGCCAGTTAAAATCAAGAGGGTTGGAGTCTGATTGCCTGACCTCCTAGCCTATTGTTTATTTGTGAGCATTTTTTTTTCATGAATATTGAGTCAGGAGACATTGGTTCAAATCCTGTTTCTGATGAGTTTTAGCCATGTGATTTTGGGCAAGTTACTTAACTTCTGTGAACCTCACTTTCCTCATCTGTAAAAGGAGGGTGTTTGACTAGACCAATCCAACACTACATCTGTAATCTATGGTCCTATGATCTTTCTTCTTCCTCATCTCCTTTGCTTTAAAAGACCAAGCCAAAGCATAGTTATAATTAGATACATGTCAATTTGCAGAAAAATCTCAATGGAGTGCCCAAGTGATCTATCTTTGACTATTTCATATTTTTATCAATGCTTTAGATGGAAGATATGGAAAGCATACTTATTAAATGAAAGCTTTTTTACATTGGCTGATAAAATCAGGATGAAAAAATCTCAAAAGGCTAGAAAATTGAGCAGTAGCTTACAAAATGAAATTTAAATGTAATGTACATTTGTGTAGGGGGAAGAGAAATGTATTCCTCCTGTACATACCCTCAAGGTGTGGTCACAGATGACGAAATATCGATGTGCTAACAAAGTGTTTGAAGCAAAGGGTCCATTTACAAAATTGGAACACCTCTCTCTAAATCAGAAGGGGCAAGCAATTGTTGGGCTAAAAATTGGCCCAGCCCCCCATGGGAAGTACAGACAACCACCAGTTCCAAGCTCAAGAGTTCAGAGCAGTTGAGTCGGAAGCCAGCAGTCAGCGAAGAACCCAACTATTCACCTCTTGATGGTGGAGGAGATTTTCTCTCCTTCCCCCTCCACGACCCCATTGGTCATAACATCTAGCAGCCAGAAGGAAACACTCTGTCTATAGTCAATAGTCAAAAAACATTTTTGAGTACCAGCTATCTACCAGTTATTGTTCAGTTATTTTCAGTTATGTCTGACTCTTTGTGACCCCATTTGGGATTTTCTTGGCAAAGATATCAGAGTGGTTTGACATTCCCTTCTCAAGCTCATTTTACCGAGAGGAACTGAGGCAAACAGTGAAGTGATTTGTCCAGCTTCAGATAGCTAGGAAGAGTTGAGACCAGATTTGAACTCAGGAAGTTGAATCTTCCTGACTCCAGGCCCAGCTTTCTATCCAATGCAACACCTACTTGCTCTACCGTGCTAAATGCTGGAGCTGTCAGTTCCAGAGAGGTCAGGCCTAGTTGAAGAAACAGAGACCCACTTCAGACAGATATTGATATAGAGAAGAAAAAATATTACTGAAAGCCAATAGGAGCTGCAAGGACATCTGGCAGCAAAGAAGAGAGTCAGCTATGGACTCAAGTAGTTTTGGCCATCGAGTTGGACTTCTAAGAGGAGCAGACCCTGGGAGTTCAACTGAACAATTTATCCAGCAGAATTGCAGGCCCCAGGGGGGTACTTTGTGAGTATTTTACTAGGAAAGAAAAGACATTGAGTTGGAGTGCCACCTGGTGACCAAAAAATAAACTACATCCACCCCACCCCCAACCCCCAGCTAGGTAAGTAAATGACAAATCATATGTTAGCCTTTTCTATTTCTTTCACTCTACCAGCAGAGTCCATGGGAATAAGCCAGGAACTGTTGCAATATTTGCTTAGTGTGTTATTTAGCACCACCATCACAATATCAGTTAAAGAAACTGGGAATGATTAGCTTCAGGAAGTCTCAGGGGTACATATTATCTGACTTCTGGTATTTGAAAGTCTGTCTTGTGAAAAAAGGATTATCAGAATTGTTCTATTTTGACCAGGCATGGTAGAATTGGGAACAATGGGTGTAAATTCCAAAGGGGGCAGATTTCAGTTCCATGTAAGGAAAAAATAATCATCAGAGCTGTGCTAAATTGCCTCCAAGCCCTGAGCTAAGTACTGGAGATACAGAGAGAAAAGTGAAGCAATCCCTGACCTCAAGAAGCTTAACATTTTATCTGGCATGACCAGTCCATATATAAATTAATACAAAATACAAGATGATATGGGGCAGTGAAGGGGAGGGAAAGATTGGTCGGAAGAAGGATACCAGCAGCTAGGAGTTGGCAATGTAGCTGATTCTTGAAAGAAACTGGGGGTTCTAGGAAATTGAAGTGGGGGGGGCGGGGAAATCTAATGCAAAGGCACAGAAATAGACCATCTATGAGAAATAGTAAGAAAGCCAGAATGACTGGATCACAGAAGGTATGAAGTGTGCATAATATGTTGGGGCCAGATTGTGAAACATTTTAAATGAGTTTTAAATTTGCTTCTAGAGTTGATAGCAAGGCACTGGAGCTTATTGACTAGATAAATGTCAGTCATGCTTAAGCAAAATTACTTTGGCAAATGTGTGGAAAATGGATTGGAATATGGAGAGATCCAAGGCTGAAAGACTAATGGGAAGGCTATTGAAATAGCAAGATGTGATGAGTACCTGAACTAGGGTGGTGACCATAAGGGTAAAGAAAATGGGAAGGCTGTAAAAGTTTCATTGTAGGTAGAAATAGCAAGTTTTGGCAACTGATTCTACATGTGGGGTGAGTATGAGGAAGGAATTGAGGCTGATACAAAGACTGGGATCTAGTTGACTGGATGGAGGGTAGTTTCCTTGAGTAACAGGGAAGTTTGGAATTTTGGATGAGATGGGGGGATAGAGACAAAATATCCAAAAGGCAGTTGGTAATGCAGGATGAGTTCGGAAGAAAGGTTGGGGATGGATATATAGATCTAGGAGAGTCATCTACATAGAGATGATAGTTAAATTCTTGGGAGTTGGTGAAGTTTAGCAGCAATAGAGTGTAAAAGGAAGAAACAAGCATTTATTATTGTGTGCCAGGAACTTTGCTAAGTGCTTTATGAATATTATTTCATTTGATCCTCACAACAACTCTGAAAGGCAAGTGCTATTATCTCTATTTTATAATTAAGGAAGCTGAGGTAGACAGAGGTTAAGTTGTTTGTCTAGGGTCACATAGCTAGTAAATGTATTAGGCCAGATTTGGACTAAGATCATCTTTACTCCAGGCTCCACATTCTAATCACTGAAGCATCTATCTACATCTAAGATGAAGAGAAGGCATAGATTAGAATCATGGGGAACATTCATAGTTAGATATGTGACATAAATGATGATCCCATACAGGAGAATGAGCATGGATGATCTAAGGGGTAGGAGAGGAGAGAGATGTGTCATGAAAACCCAGAGAACAGAGAATAAGGTAGTAGCTCAACAATATTAAATATTAAATGGGATAATGTATTCCAAAGAGCAATGGAGCTCAAGATGCAGCTGAGGCATTTGAAACATTCTTAGAAAGAAAAGTGAGATGTGAAGAGATTACTTGCTTCTCAAATACCCCAGACAACAGAAATGCAAGAGGGGTGAACAAATGTAGTAGCCAAGGACAGCAACAACAACAGAGTGACAACAGGGAGACCAGTAAGAAACTTCTTCTTAAAAAGAGACAAAGAGACAGAGGTAAAGATGGAAGTCAAGTGAAGAAGTGAGCCTACAGCATTATGACAGAACATGGTGAAATCCTGCCTGCAGATGAATCAATGTTTTGTTTTGTTTTGTTGGGGTTTTTTTGTTTGTTTTGGTGGGACTACATTACAAAATGGGTGGGTAAATGAAAGAGGAGGAGAGGAACAAGGAAATAGAGGGGAATGTGTGATGTGCATGGCAAAATGAAAGGTTAGCAGTGAGGGTTAGATGACCCTGGAGGTTTCAAGAAAAGAAGAACCTGTAGGAGAATGGATAAAGAGGTGAGAGAAGGACTAAAATTATGGGAGAAAGAGAAAAGCCTTGCTTTGGTGGTGGGAGGGGATGTCACTGATGAAGGCTCCTATGGGTGTAGAGAAACGTTTTGTGAGGGAGATGGGGACCTTGAGCTAAATGTTGTGGTTGGGAATTGGTGCACAGAACGCTTGTTTAACTTCAGGAAGAAGGGAGTTAGATATCCTGGGGTTTTCTTGACACCTTGGAGAGTAGAAGGGCATGGACCCAGGAAGATTTTGAGAAAAAAGGAGAAAAAGGTTACCAAGGAGAGGATATAATATAGATCAGTGGTGGACTACCTAATCAGGGATAGGGCAGGATATCCTGCCACAGGCCAATGTCTTCTCTGTCACCTGAAGGAATGGGCCTTGTTCTGAGAGCGACATAAGAGGAATTCGTAGGGCAAACCCTTCTGCCGAGAGGGAAGAGAACAGAATGGATACCTCAGAAGTTTTATTCCATGAAGAATACAGAGAATAGAGAGAGACTAGATAATTGGGATGGAAGCCAAAGAAGGATCCAGAGTAACCAGAAAGAGAAGATGGATAATGGAAAGAGTGAGAGAAACCCACTCTGGAA